TGGAGCGGTATATAAGCCTAACTGCTATTGCTATGTTCCCTGGACTGCAAGGCGATCAAACCAGTTAGTCCTAGAGGAGATCAACCTTGACTGCTCTTTAGAAGACCAGATCCTGAAGAGGAAACTCAAATACTTTGGCCACCTAATGAGAAGGAAGGACTCCCTGGAGGAGAGCCTCATGCTGGGAACGATGGAGGGCAAAAGAAGAAGGGGACGGCAGAGAAGGAGGTGGCTGGATGGAGTCACCAAAGCAGTCGGTGTGAGCTTAAATGCACTCCGGGAGATGGTAGAGGACAGGAAGGCCTGGAGGAACGTTGTTCATGGGGTCACAATGGGTTGGACACGACTTTACGACTAACAACAACAACAATTTGTCAATGAAGGCAAGTTCAAGAAGTGTGAACTTCAACTCCCAGAATTCCCTAGTCAGCCATGCTGGATGGAGAATTCTGGGATTTTGAAGTTGACACATCTTAAAAGTTGCTAAAGTTGAAAAACATTGTGTTCCTTTTTTTTTTTTTTTGTATTGGTAGCAGGAAAAGAGGCCAGAAGAGCTTTTGTATATCAAAAAAGGTCTCTGATTTAAAAGCCTGGGAAATTTTAAAAATTGGGAAATGTGATTTTTTTTTTTGAAGCTATACTCCCATTATCTCCCCAATTTAAGGACTACAGCTAATCCTAGTCTTAGGACAATTGAGTCCCAAGACTAGGATTAGCTGTAGTCCTTAAATTAGGACTAAATTAGTCCTAAATTAGACATTTGTTAAGTGAGCTTTGCTCCATGTTACAACTTCACTTGCCGCAGTTGTTAAGTTAGTAACTCGGCTGTTAAGTGAGTCTGGCTTCTCCATCACGTGACCCCGGGGCACTGCCACCATCATAAGTATGAACCAGTTGCCCAGCGTCTGAATTTTGATCACATGATGATCACAGGGAATGCCGTAATGGTCATAAGTGTGAAAAACGGTCGTAAGTCACTCCCCGCCCCACCCCGCTGTCACTTTGAACAGTCGTGAAGTGGAACTGTTGTAAGTCGAGGACTACCTGTAACAGTTTCCCAACCCAATTATTTATTTATTTAATGAACCAAATTAAATAAATTACTCCCCAAGCTGCCAAAGGTGAGACAGCACTGGAGGCTGAGCCCAGAATATTCTTTAATTTAAGGTATCCCACCCCTAGCTTTTCCTCCCGGGTAGGGAGAACCGCAGGAGGGAATCCATAAGGTCTCAAAAGGCTTTTGACTCTGTAGACGGGGAATCGAAGTAGAGCCTCCAGATGCCAGAGCAATCTCTCTGAACCCCAGAATGGGCGTGGGGGAGCTCAGGGGAGACGGGGCTGCGCAGAGACCAGCAGGGCTGGCTGGGGAAGGGTCGAGGCAAAGAGGTGCAGCAGCCCCACCCCCCGCCCCTCCAACCTCCCCAAATCCGGAGTCGAACCACAACGCTACCAACTCACCTCCTTGCCAGCAAGAGAAATCCGGATCTAGTTCCGCTCTCTCCCCTTGTTCTCTATGGCGGAACCTCCCTCTCCCCTGGACACGCCTCCTCCCGGAAGGCGAAGCAAGGGAGAGAGAGACAGACGCGTAAGTCACTCTGGCCACGCCTCCCACAGGCGGGCGGGGCAGCGGAGAGAGACAGAAGTGTAAACGTCACTTTGGCTACGCCTCCCGCTAGCTAGGCAGNAGTGCCGTTGTGACTTCGGTCACAAAAACGAACTTAAAAAGTCCAGGACTATCTGTTTGGGAGTTGCATTTGCCCATTTGCATTTTATCCAGAGCGGAAAAACTGATCTTTCCTTGTCTTTTCCACCTTTCCCTCCCCAGAGAGAAAGTCAACAAAGGGATCGGCATTGAAAATATTCACTATTTAAATGACGGCCTGTGGCATATGAAGACGTACAAGTGAAATCAGCGGGAAGGATGCGGTTTGCTTGCCAGCGTGGACTACTCTGTAATTCTGTTTTTAAATGTGCACCTGAATGTACAAATTTATTTTGTTCTGTGGCTAATGCTAAATAAATCAAGTGAATGCTAAAAGCCCCGTTAGCTTTGTAAAATAATAGCAATGGCACTTAAGACTTATATGCCACTTTTACAGGGCTTTACAGCCCTCTCTAAGCGGTTTACAGAGTCAGCCTCTAGCCCCCAACAATCTGGGTCCTCATTTTATCCACCTCGGAAGGATGGAAGGCTGAGTCAACCTTGAGCTGGTGAGATTTGAACTGCTGGTAGCTAGCAGTCAGCTGAAGTAGCCTGCAGTGCTGCATTTAACCACTGCGCCACCTCGGTTCTTATAAATACACCTGGGCCGGTTTTAAGAACGTGCGTGGCGGCGTTAGCGATTGCAAAGCTGAGAAGGGAAGCAGGGATTTAGGCGTAAAATGTTCTCCCGTCTCTTTCTATGGTGTGATGGGCATCGCTGTGCAGCGCTGCGCTACAGACGACGCAGGACGCCCGCCGTTGCAAAAATAGATTTAATTTACAGTAGATTCATCTTGATTTTAAATATTTACATACCCGCTACGCAATTGTCAACAAAAAGAAATCTTCGGAAGTTTTTGTTTTTCTCCCCTTCCCTCTCCAGGTGACATTCACAGGTGTATAAAAAGGGCTTGTCGTTTGAAAAAACGGGACCCCCCCTCCCCTCCCTCTTTGCAAAGATTACAAAACCAGATTGTGCAAAAAAAGAAAAAAAGGAAAAAAGAGAGAGCTAACACCAATGCTAATAAAATTAAAATTTGGAGCCGCCCTCAATACATGCTGCTTGCCGAAGGGCACTGTGTGCTACAGACGACGTGTTCTGGCGGGCCGCTTTTCAGTCGTTATCGGAGCCTGGCGGAGGGAGGAACATTAAGGCATCGTTGAATGTGTGGCCGTACGCTCGGAGCCTGTAGACCCCGTACATCATGACGTGCATGTGGTTCGGCGAGAGGCCGCTGAATGTGATGGCCATATCTGAACAGCAGCCTTCCACCACTTCCTGCGGCCGATTAGCCATGGCCTCCTTAATCAGGGCGCCCACCGGCTTGGTGTTGAAAATGTCCTTCTTCTCCGAATCTTCGGCGTTTTCGGCGTGCACCCCGCCGTACTTCAAGCACAAGGCCAACTGTTTGTCTTCGGAAAGTTTCCAAATCATGCCTCCGTGTTCGGGGCACTTATTCGGATCTTGGAAAATCCGGTAGAGCCGCCGCAAGGATTCCACACTCAAGACGATCCCGCCCGCGCCGTTGACGTACTGCAGATCTCCCGAGGATTCGGTCTGGCCTGTGTAGAACGGCTGGGCGGCGTCTTGCTTCAACAAGAAGTACTTGAGGTTCTCCACGATGGCGAAAGTGGTGGGGTAGGCGAGGAAGTACCAGTTGTAGCTGTCCCGGTAATTCTCGTAGGCGTTTTTGTAGGCCTGGCGCATCATGGACCACATGTCGTCCGTGTTCAGCACGATCGAGTCGAAGACCTTGACGTTCTCGGAGCTGTAGAATTCGGCTCGGTCGCAGTGTTTGCTCCAGGTTTCCCTCACGGCGGCCCACTGTCCCAGATCTTTCGGCTTGACCAGGATGATGCAGTAGACACGGAGGCTCTGGGTCAGCTCCAGGCGCTTCTCTTCGGAGAGGTTGAGGATGTCCTCTTTCCTGGGCGCTTGGAGGTGTCGGTGCTCGTGAGATTTCGTGGGCCGGCCCGTTTTAATGTGTCCCAGAAGGGTCACCAGGACGCAGCAAATTCCTCCAAGCAGCATGCCTTTTAGGAAGGAGCCGCTTTCGGGAAACATGATTTCTAGATATTATACGGAGCAGGAAAAAAAAGAACACAGGGTTATCGAATGAAGGTCCAACAGGTTCCTCATCTTGAGGGCATCCCCAAAGGTGCTTTTTTCAAGAGGCAACTGGATTTCCTTGGTTTTTCTTTTTGTTTTGCTTCTCATCACAGAAGCTTCTTCGGTTCTGACTGGATGGTGGGGAATGGAAGGGTTTATACTCATTTGCATCCTTTTTGCATCTCATTTACATGACTCAGGCGACACAGAGAAACCTCCAAGTGGCCTCAACGACCCTCTGAAAGGATGCAAAGGACCAGCTGTCTGCAAGGAGTCTCAATCCTTCCATTCCCCACCATCCAGTTCAGAACCGAAGAAGCTCCTTGGATGGGAAGTGAAATGTCTTCGAAAGAAAAAAAAATAATCCAGAAAATCCAGTTGCCTCCTGAAAAAGCCCCTTTGGGACAACCAGGACCTGGATGACTGAGAATCTAAAAACTCCTCAACTTTGGACCAAAATTGAGCTCAAAACCTTGGTTGCCAAGCGAGACATTTTTACCTTATTTTTACGACGTTGCCACAGTTGTTAAGTGAATCCCTGCAGCAGTTAAGTTACTAACACCCGTTGTTTAAGGTGGATCTGGGCTTCCCCATTGACTCTGCTTGTTAGAAGGTCTCAAAAGGGGATCCGCATGACTCCCGAGACACTGCGACCGTCTTAAATATGAGCCAGTTGCCAAATGTCTAAATTTTGATCAGGTGACCATGGGGATGCTGCCAGCGTCGTCAGTGCGAGGAATGAGTAGCTTTTTTCAGTGCCATTTTAACTTGGCTAAACAAACTCTGGTTAAGTGAAGGACTACCTGTTGTCAGGTTTCCTAAAAATGCCCTAATTGATTCATGAGTATCGAGTCAAGTTTCAATCGTGGCACGACAAAACCGCGCTCGACTAAAGCGCGCCCGATTAAACCGCATCGCTGACGTCATCAGCAGGGCGACAACAGCGAGCGCGGA